GTACCGGGGGGCTTTGGGGAGAAAAAGGAAAAATAAAACCTTTAAAAAAAAAATGAAGGAGTGGAGAAACTAAAAAGAACATGACAATTGTATAAATTAAAACTAAAAAGGCAGGTGTCATTGCAACTAGGTCAGGAATACTAAATGCGATTGCATTACACGATCCAGGCAGGAGGAAGTGATTGTCACCTCAGATTAAAACAAAGAAACGATGATCTAAATACATGGTCTGTACAGGAAGCGTACTATAGATTCAAAGATACAGATTGCAAGGAAACGCAGGGGAAAATGTACATCTGGATTCAGCCCCCCAAATTCAGCTGGAGAGATGACACAAATATCTAGCAAAATAGACTTTAAAATAAAAAATATTACTAGAGCTAATAAGGAACATTGTATTGTACCTGCGGGGTGAAAGTTTATGGCCTGCAACTAACACAGTACAAAGAAATAAATTTACAGCCATTAATGCCTATACTAACAAGCAAGAGAGATCTTAAATCAGTAAACTAACCTTTGCTTTAACCAGCTTGAAAAGATGAGGTACCAAACCCAAAAGCAAGAAGAAAAGGAAACAAATTCGAGAACTGAGATGAAATGGACAAATTCCTAAAAGACAGAAACTACAGAACCTAAATCAAGAATAACTGGAAAATCGGAATAGAAGTAACAAGTGAAGGGGTTGAATTGGTAAACAAGTGACCACCCACAAAGGAAGGCCAGGCCCAGATTGTTTCAGCACAGAAATCTCTGAAACCTTCAGAGACCCTTAATACCAATTCCTCACACACTCTCCTAAAAATCAGAATGGAGAAAATAATTTGCACTCATTTTTTGAGGCCAGTTGCAGCAAATACCAGCAAACCCAATCCAGGAAGATATAAAAGAATTACGCACCATGATCAAGAAGGATCTATTCAAGGGATGAAAGGTTGGGTTAATATCCAAAATCCATTGATGTCATCAAGGATATCAACAGACTAAAAAATAACGATGGCGTCACATCATTTCAACAGAACCCAGGGAAAATAACTGACAAAATCCAGCACCCTTCCATGGTGAAAGCTTTCAGATTACCAGGAATTAAGGAAATTTCCTAACGTCATAATGAGCATCTATGGAAAAGTCACAGCTAGTATAATATTTAATTGGAAAAGACTGGATGCTTTCCCCTAAAGAAAGGAACCAACGAAGCATGTCTGCTCTTGCGACTTCTATTCCAGAATGTACTGGAGATTTTAGGTGGAATCTTTATGCAGCAAAAGAAAAGAAAATGCATAAAGAAGGGTTAGAAAGATGTAAACCTATCTCTACTTCCAGCTGAGCTATCTTGGTTTTAGAAAACTGTCAGGAATCCACTACAAAGTTTATTAGAACTGATAATTACAGTTAGCAACATGGTAGGACACAGGATCAAGATATAAAAATCAATTGTATTTCTATACACCTGCAATGAACAATCTGATAATGAAATGAAGAAATGCATTGACAGTAAGTTCAAAAGAAGAACATCTTTGGAATAAGCTTAGCCAAAGAAGTACAAAGTGGATGCCCACAAAAGTGCAAAATATGGGCAGAAGAAATTAAAAAGGTATAAACAAATGGCAAAACCTCCCAATTTCATGAATCAGGAGACTTAACATTGTTGAAATGGCACTATTCCCCAGATGACCTGAGATTCAGCACATACCTGTCATTGATGCCAAGTGATTCCTCTACACAAAGTGGCAGGCTCACTCATAAAATTATGGGAATTTCAAGGGAGTCAGAGTAGTCAAAGCAATCTTGGAAACAGAAAAACAAAATGGTAGGACTAACATTTCCTGATTTCCAACTTTGTCATATGCAATGGTAATCAAGAGTGTGTGGTACTAACACAAGGACAGACATACAGATCTACGGACTAGATTGAGATTTGAGAACTAAACCCATACCTCTGTGGTCCACTGATATTTTTTTAAATTGCCAAGAATGGGGTAAGCATATTCTTTTCATAAATGGGTGCTGGGCAAGTGGATGGCCATATGCCCAAAAAGAGGTTTTATCCTTATATGAAATCACATACAATAATTTACCATAAAGGATGAAGACCTAAAACTTAGAGTAAACAATAACACAATCAGATAAAATATAGGAAAAAACTTAAGCACCTTGGGTTTGGCAAAGAACTATTAGATAAGAAGCCGAGAGCCAAAACAGGAAAAAATACGTTTTTTGCACTTGATCCAATCAATCACTTTTGTGCTTCAAAGGACCCCATCGAGACGGTGAACACACCCTTTGGAACTCTTGTGCACTACTGCTATGAATGAAAAATTATTTTGATGGTATGAATGCAACATGGCAATTTTTCTAAAAATTACAAACTGAGTTACTGCCTGAACTAGCACTGCCGCTTCTGGGATTGGCAGTAGATGTCAAAGCAGGGACTTAAACAGATATACATCCACTGCTGTTTATACTAGCATTTTACACATTTGCCACAAGGTGGAAGTAACCCAGGTGCCCTTCAACGGATGAATGGATCAAGAAAATCTGGCACATACATACAATGGTGTATCATTCAGCTTGAAAAAGAAAGCCAGTTCTGACATGGGCTACAGCTGAACTGCACACTTAAAAACGGTTGAAAATGTAAATTGTATGGTATGCGTATGGTACCACAATCAAAAGCAGAAATTTTAAGGCAAGAGAGTGAAACCACAACCTATAGAATGGAAGAAAATTCTGCAAATCGTAATTCTGTTAAGGAAGTTGTATCAAAAATACCTCAAGACCTCTTCAATCTTAATTAGAAAAAGTCAAAAAACTCTATTTAAATATGGTAAAGGATCTGAATACACTGTTTTCCAAGGAAGACAGGGAAATGCTCAAGAACATATGTAAAGATGCTGGGCATCCTTAATGAGGAAGGAAACGCAAATCAAAACCCCAATGAGATACCACTTCACCCCCACTAGGATGGCTGGAATCAAGATGTGAGGTAAGAAGTGTTGTTGAGGATGTATTTAGAAATTGGAACTCCCACACGTGGGTGGTGAGAATGCAAAATGGTGTAGTTACTGTGGAAAAGGCTCTGGGAGTTCCTCAAATATAAAAAGTAAAATTACCATGTGACCCATCAATTCCACTCCTGGGTACTTAGGCACCTTGTGTGTGTGTGTGTGTGTGTGTGTGTGTGGTGGTGAGAAGACTTCATCCGCTGTCTTAGCAAATTTCAAGTATACAAATTGTATACATATATCAAGTCATCGCACTGTGATCTCTAAATATGGACAGTTGTGTTGTTCAGTTATCCCTTGATAAAGCTAAGGGGTGTGGGAAGAGTTTCCAGGTGCATCCGACATTCATTCGAAAAGACGTCCTTTTTCTTATATCAGGGAAGGTAAGTCAACGGCCTTAGATCTGGATGTTATAGCCGTTAACATTTGAGAGGTCTCTAGGGACAAGGGCAAAAACTGATCTAAAATAAATTTCCTTCCAGTGTCAGATGTACACCTGAGACTTTAATGAACACATGTCACACGCTGTGGTTACACTGAGGAGAGTCCTCGCACCCAGCCTAGGCTGTGGGATTCAAACTTCCCACCAGAGCCAAGTGTACTGGGATATTTTATCTTTTTTTTTTTCTTTTTTGGTGAGGAAGATGGGCCCTAAGCTATCTGTTGCCTTTCTTCCTCTATTTTGTATGTGGGAGACCGCCAGAGGGTGGCTTTCATGAGCGGTGTGTAGGTCCACACCCGGGATCTGACCCTGTGAACCCTAGACCACCTGAAGCAGAGCATGTGAACTTAACCACTACACACTAGGCCAGTCCCCATGGAATCTTTATCTTAAGGAGCAAGTGAGTGGGGTGGGAGGCATGGGTGGAAGGCTCATTGCTGACAAGGATCACTGAATAAAAGGGAGCCTGACCCTTTATCACAGATGGTGAGGTCACATTTAAGTGTCAGTGTTTCTCAACAAGGGTCAGAGTTCCACGTTTGGCCTTGCAGCCTTATCACAAGCCCATGGCCCCTAGAGAACATAAGATCATATTATTTCCACGTGGCCTGGCCTGGGTCACCCTCATGGTCTGTGATGAGGATTATTTCAGGCTGGTTACTTTTAAAAACACTGCAGAAGGGAAGGAGGCTCTGAGGAGTGGAATTTGCTTGCCCTTTGATGAAGATATTTGCATTCGTGAAGGAAGTCTCCATCAGTGTGGGTGTCTCCCTCTCTGCACCAGGAGGAAGCGGGGATGACCTTACCTCTAGAAACTCTTAATGGGGATGGCAAGGACCTAAGCATTGTTTATTGTGCTTGTCTGGTAACCTCATGTAGCTGACTCCCCCCACCATCAACATCCTCTGGGAAGCACAGGACATCCTAACTTAATCCGGTCTGATTCTTATCTAAAGTTATAGGACCCAATAACCAGACCCCACCTGCACTGACATCATTTTAATGACTTTTTTTTACATGTTCTTTCCTTTGTCTTGTAAAGAGACAACTCACATACCTATACCTTAAGTTTAGCTCCAACCCTCAACATTCTGCAGCAGCTCTTGCTGCCCGTGGGTCCTGTCCCCAGGCAGCAGCTCTTTACTGGCCATGGGTCCTGTCCCCATGCTATTCCATACTATTCTCTGAATAAAAGAGCACTACTGCTAGACCTTGAGAGTACAAGAAATCCTTCTTCGGACTCCTCTGCTCGCCGAACCTGCATCAGTCTGTACTTGCGCCATTTGAAACTCAGTCAGTACTTCCCCCTGCACACCTGGACTCCTGAGTTCACAAAGAGCTGGGTGGAAACAATAGAGGCAGCCCCAGGCCAGGAAAAAGTTCCGTTTCAACGCAAATGTGCCAGGTGAGTCTGGCTCCAGCCCGCAGCCTAGGCGGGTTTGGCTGAATCCTGCAGCCTCCCACCTGCTGTCACTCTGGCATGAGGGGGCGGGTCATTTGGGATTGTCCAATGAGGGGAGGCTCTGGGGCAGGAGGGTGGGGCCATGCACTGGACTTCCTGTGAAGGTGGCTTCCGCTGCTGCCGCGCTGCAGGTGAGCTGTTGTCTGCCTTAAGGGTTCTGGTGGCTGTAGCAGAACCTCTGTCGCACTGTGACCTGCACTGGCTGTGGGGATCGTAGGAAGGACTCGGGGGACCCAGGAGCCCTGGAAATGGTGAGTGTGCGGCCCCGGGGCGAGGACACGGCAGGCGGGGCTGGTGGGAAGCGGCGGGGCGGGCCCGGCCTCTCGCGGTCCCTTCCGGGGTCTGCTGCCCTGAGTCCGCGGTGGCGCCGCTTGGCCCTCAGGCCCCTCAGGCCGCAGAGTGGTGGCTGGGCCGGCAGCCGGGCCCCGGGCGTCCTGTGGTCCCTGCGCGCGGCGACTGGGGCCGGAGCGTCTCTGGGCCGCTGTGCGCCCGCAGCCCCGCGTGTCCCAGTCGGTGCGGGGCCCGCGCGTGGGCCCGCAGGACAGTGGGACCTCGGTCTCCGGGGTCCGTGCGCGGAGGGACTGTGGTCTCTGGGTCCCCAGGGCCTCCTTTCTTCGCAGGGGGCACCTGTTTTCTCTGAATTTTCCATATATTTGGGGAGCCGGGTCTCAAATCCGCAGTCCTGTCCCCACGGGCTGCTCTTCCTGGGACTGACAGTAAATCCGTAAATTTTCATATGCCTGCCTGCCCTCCCAAAGCCACTTCCCCTCTTTCATTCACAGGATGCTTATCAACACTTGGTCCTCCATGGCGCGTTTCAACCAGACCCAATATGTTAACCGTTTATCATTATCCCCCAGAGCCATGGATGGCTCTATTTTTTTTTTTGTAAGATTTTATTTTTCCTTTTTCTACCCAAAGCTCCACCCCCCCCATAGTTGTATATTTTAGTTGTGAGTACTTGTAGTTGTGGCATGTGGGACGCCGCCTCAGCATGGCCTGATGAGTGGTGCCAGGATTCGAACTCTGGAAACCCTGGGCCACTGAAGCGGAGCACGCGAATTTAACCACAGGGCCACCCGGGAGCCCAGGATGGCTCTATGTTACAGATTAGATTTGTCTGTGTGATGCGGTCTCCAGGAGCAGAGAAGTCGAAAGAAAGATTCCTTGGACTCTCAAGGTCTGGCAGTAGTGCTCCTTTATTCAGAGAATAGGGTGGGGACAGGACCCATTGGCAGTAAGAGCTGCAATGGATTGAGGGCAGGGCTAAACTTATAAGGCCTAGGTATGTGAGTTATTTCTTTAGAAGACAAAGGAAAGATCATGTAAAAAAGTTGTGGGGCCGGCCCATGGTACAGCAGTTAAGTTCTCACGTTCTGCTTCTGGGGCCTGGGGTTTCCCTGTTTGGATCCAGGTGCAGACATGGCACCACTTGGCAAGACATGCTGTGGCAGCATCCCACATATAGAGGATGATGGGCACAGATGTTAGCTCAGGGCCAGTGTTCCTCAGCAAAAAAGAGGAGGATTGGCAGCAGATGTTAGCTCAGGGCTAATCTTCCAAAACAAAAAAGTCATTAAAAAGGCTAGTGCAGGTGGGTTTGGTTATTGGGTGGTCCTGTACCTTTAGATAAGAATCAGATCGGATCAGGTCACGATGTCCTGTGCTTCCCGGAGGATGATACAGATTGGTATGCAGGGCAGGACGCCTTGGGCTTCTTTCCCTGGGGCAGCCTGGATCCTCATCATGTAGATATTGTACATGAGAGGAAAGCAGAGAATAATCATCTGGAACCTCATTGCAGGAAATCCTTGTGCCTCTCCCCAGGGATCATCTGTGCCCAGACATCCTATGGGAAGTGCTTTGGGTGGAGGTTCCTGTTGAAAAAATGTCGTGGGTGATCGGTCCCATTGGCATCCGCCCACCCCCCATTTGTGAATGAGAAAAAATTATTCACTTATTTAAGTCTCGGTTTTTCAATAAGGGTAAATACATTTACTGAACAGACCTTGGAAGACACTATAAAATAGTTCTAAACAGGCAACAAAGAGGTGAATTTCAGGCAAAATATAGTATTCGTTTGTTACATTCCATTTGTTAAGAATACTTGTTTCACTCTGTCTTCACCTGAGCATGTGTAGTAAGTTTCTGAGATCTGTTCTTTACTTGTGGATGTTTTCAAATGAAATTCCAGGGCTTAGACATGCTGACCACAAGCGTTCAAGTGTGATGTCTTGTGATGGAAATAATGTCACCACAGGACCAGGAACAGAGTTGTCATCCCAAAGCGTGCGTCTTTGGCATAAGTGCTATTTTGAGCTGGTGATTGTTAAAAAAGCAGCAGACACACGCAAATCTCAGAAACCTAGAAGTTACTCTTTTGTAAGGGAAATTTACATTCTAAGAGAAAGGTCCCTTTGTAAGGGTGACTTCCTCTCTCTGTGCCAGGAAGGGCAGGATGACTCTAGATCTCTAGAAACTCTTACCAGTGGAGAAGGCAAGGAGTTGAATCTGCATGACAACTTCACCCTTGTTTATGGTGCGTTTCCTCCCAGCCTCCCATCGCTAAGCCCATCTTAACAACAGGACCTTAAAACTCTTTGCCACAGGCGGGGGCCAGCCAGGAGCCTGTGCGCAAGAGAAAGTTTTGATCTGCGAGTCTAACCTCACCCTGTCAGGTCTTTGCATCCCAGCCGGCCCTCCCTGCTCCCTTAAGCCTCAGCCCATGCTTTGGATGAGGGAGACGGAGTCGAGAGCCTGTCCTCCTGTCTCCTTGCCAATGGATCAACTGTTCCTTCTTTCAAAGCCTGGTGTGCCGTGGTCTCAGCTTCTGTGCGCATCAGGTGGCGACCCCTCGCTCAGTAACACTAATAATCAACTGACATTATTTTGCTGAATGGAATAGATATTTGAGGGTTTCTAGTTGAAGTGGTAGAAACACCTTGTACTTTTCTTCCCTATTTTCCATGGAAGGACTGGGTTTAAGTGATTTTGCTGGATTATTCCAACACTGGGCTTGTTTGATTTAAAATAACAATGCTGTTCCAAAGCATCTCCAGTGGGGAGCAGAGGCCCTCAGTCCAAGACTCAAGCTAAGGCCCCCTTGACCCTGCAGAGGGAAGGCCTTGCAGGCCCAGTTGTCCTTCCTGGGGAGCCTCCCCCTGCAGGTGTCCTACTGCTCACACCCCCATGGAAGGAGCCTTTCTCCTGAGAGGAGCTGCAGAGCCCTGGACAGCTGGGGGTGCACGTGCTCATGGGGTGGGGAGTGATGCCCTGTCTGAGGTTGTGGTTGTGGTTCTTATGCCTGGACATTTTAGACATCGTTTGAGTTTTGCACCCACACTGTAGGTGCACTGAGAGTGTAATCTGCACAGTGAGGAAATCTGTGAAGATCGGGTGTTCTGTCCTGTGGACAAAGAGTTCATGAATTTGGAGTTGATGTGTGTCAGAAGCTTGAACTGAATGCGGCTGAGAGTTTCCTCACGTGTGAGAGTGGAAGTCTGAGGGAGGCAGTGCTTCCATGCTCACAGGAGAGGGAGGGTTTGCGGGGCTCCCAGAGTTCATCCCTGTTGCTGCTCAGGTGTCCCCCCCCCCGTCCTTCCCCAGGGACTGACCCTCTCCAGGGGTTCTGTCTCAGTGGCGAGAGTCTACACCTCCAGTCTGGGAATATGGTCCCTTTCTGAGTGTGGTTTTCCTTGTGAACTGCAGGCCAGCAGCCTGCTTCTATGAGCTGATTGGAATATTCCTGTTTCTGTCCTCGGATACCTTGATTAGTTGAAGATTGAGATCCTCTGATTCTAGTTTCCATTTGCACCTGGCTTTGGAAATTAATGTCAGAGATACGATGTGAGCAAGGCAAGACAATTGTGGAAACAATTTTCTTCCATTTAGACAAGAGAACCTCAAGAGGTGAGATGGGTGTATTTCAGTTCTCAGGTGTGTCGACGAAAATAACCAATCTATAAATGAAAATTTGGGTGAGTTTATTCTGAGCTGAAATCTGAGGATTATAACCCGGGAGAGTCTTTCCACAAAGGAACAGAGTACTGCAAAGAAGTGGGGGAACACAGGGTGATTATATACCCTCAAAGAGGGTGTTTCACATATGATTGAAATGTCCCTCCCACAACAGTCACAAGATTGCCCTGTCTGGCACAGCACTTGATGGACACAGCAGGTAGTGGTCTGCTATCTTCGGAGGGTGTAGCACGAGGCAAGTCTATTGTCTTGAGCTGGGCAGTCACAGGCGGCCACCACAAGCAATCAGTTCCTAGCCTAAGGAAAGATGCTTAATCCTTAAAGAAATGCCAATGTTGGGAGGGGAAGAGAAGTTGCACCTTTATCTCAAGGGCCTTTGTTCTTGCCATGGGGAATATCTAAAGCAGATGTACAATGCATGCTCAACGGCCACAGTCAGGCCCTTTTGGAAAGAGGAGGTCAGGCCGAATTAGGTTTACCCAAAATGGCTTCCTTGTGTACTCCAATATCCCCTATTACTTGCCATTTTTATTTGTCAGGTGCATTTTCCATGTTTACATCAGTTTTGTGTGTCCATGTCCCTAGAGAGCTTTGACATTTAAAAGACTATACTATTCCTAAGGCAAATGAATTTTATTTATTTTCTTATTGTTTGTGTGTGTGTGTGAGAGGAAGATTGTCGCTGAGGTACCGTCTGTGCCCATCTTCCTCCATTTTATGTGGGATGCTGCCACAGCCTGGCTTGATGAGGGGTGCTGGGTCCACACCTGAGATCCAAACACACGAACCCCAGAGCACTGAAGCAGAGCAAATTGAACTTAACCACTATGCCACTGGGCCAGTCCCTGAATTCTATTTTAATGGATGTGGGAAAAGGCACTTTAATTTCTCTTTTCATTGATATGAGGAATCAGGTCAGAGCTTGTGTAAAACTTTGGAATTCCTAGTTTATTTCAGGACTTAATTGCAAACCCCTAAGGTAGGGTAATATGCTACTCCTTCCTAAAAATATTCCCAGGGTAGATATAGTGGAGGCAGAAACAAGAATGCCCGTTGTCTTTTTTGTTAGAAAGAGATTGGTAAATTTTTTGTGGTGTACAGTTTTATGACCATTAGTGTTTAAAGAATTAAATCTTGAAATGGTTTCCTATGTAGAAATGTTAAAACTAAAAGTTATTTAAAAGTAATGATCAAACATAGGAAAATATGGCATATTTAAATGCCTCTACTTATTTGATTTTATTTTTGAGGAAAATTGGCCCTGAGCTAATAT